TTATCAATAGTTTATGAGGATGAAGTAAACTATAGGTTAATGGAAATATTCAATAATTGTGTTAAGCTAGAAAGTATTGAAATTTAAAGAATTGAAATTTAGTGTTTTAGATGGAAATAGAATTTATACCGAATTGTATATGAATTTGTATATTTGAATTTTGAATTTACTGAGCAACGTGTCTCAAATAGTACTTGTACTTGTATTTATTACCTGATAACTTTTATATTGTCTCTTTGTGACATTGAATATTTTACATGTTTGCAACTATTAAGCTTCTAGAATTTTCTGGCTTATAAATAGGTGATTGGCTTTGTTTCTTATAATTATAATATAAAATAAAGATAAATTTTAGTAAAAAGTAAAAAAACATTACAAGTTATGATGTATAACTCACAATTATTGATAGTTTTCCTGTCCATTAATAATCTTGTGGTATATTGATGAAACTATTATTATTATTTATTACTATTATTATCAGTTATTATTATTCATTACTGTGAATTATTATTGTTATTGCTGATTTGATACAATGAATTCTATATAAAAATTGTTAAAGGAAAACTTATGTTGTATAATAATATATAAAAATCAAAACCAAAATAACCAATAATATATAAATAAAGTTGGCACCCAGCCAACACAATCAAAAAACTGACACCCAGCCAAAACCACCAAGAAAATAAATTAATAATAATATATAATAATAATATATATTATATATTTAATAATAGTAAATAAATATTCCTTTGATTGTTGTTGCTTTAGAATGATGAAAGTTGAAATTTGAATGGTGGAATTAACTTTTCTTTTTGAATATCTTGACTATAATTACTATCTTGATAACATTTTAAATATGCCTTCCAGTTGGTACTCTTCTTTGATATTAGGACAATTACATCTAATAACTAATAAATAATAATAACTAATAATAATAACAATAATAATGTTCACGACAACGGGTTTTATTATTAACAGATGATCATAAAAAATTTTCAACCAGTTAAAAATCAGTTAAAAAAATCAGTGTATACATACATATATATAATATATATATATATATATATTATTTAATTACGAAAAATTTTATAATTGTATTTATGGATGCAGCTGTACAAAATCATAAATTTTAAATAAAAATTTGTTTAAATATAATTATCATTTTAAATTCAAATAAAATGTCTAATAACAAAAGGCTATGTTGTTGTATCAATTGTTTAAGTAAATCAAATGGAAGTTGAGGATAATGATGAAACAGGAATTAATATTTATGATGGTATTTGGAGGAGAAGGAATTTGCTAATATATTTATCTGTTTTCAAAAGATAATTTAGATGACAATAATCTTGGTTCTAATGGTAGTTCTAGTGATTCTGATGATGGTTATGATTATGATTCATATGAAATGAGGTATAAAATTGAATATGAAATTTCTGGTTATCACTAGTTGAAATTTACTGATTAACTTGTCTTATTTTAATTGACTTTATTGATAAAAATATAACAATATTTTAGTGATCAGTGTAATTGTAATATATCTAATTTCTTATAGTTATTTTTTGGACTTTGATCTAGTTTCCATACTAGTTTTAATAATATCTTGCTTCTTTTTTTTAACTGTTTGATTGTATAAATTTTATAATAAAATAAATAATTTGTAGAAATGGAATAAAAAAACTAAAAATTAAAAATTTCTTACTATTATTGACAACTGTGGTGGTATTATTATTCCTAGTGGTTATGCGGGCACAATTCTTATTATTATTCCTGATGGTTACATGGGCATGACTTTTATTGTTATTACTGTTACTGTTATTAGTGGAATCTTCATTAGTATCATTATCATCATCATGATTGACAGCAGTTTCATTATTATTATTCTCTTTATCATCATGATCCTTACTATTACTAATAATAGTATTGTTATTGGTGGTAGCTGTATGAATATGTTGTTTTTTATTATTATCATTGGTGGAGGGATTTTTGGTAAAACCTTTGTTACCATCATCATTACCAGATACCATATAATGATTATTTTCTTTATCATAATCATTGTTATGATTTTTACTATTACTGACATTATTATTATTTCTGATGATTATATGGGCATGACTCTTATTATTCTTCTTCTTGGTGGTTACATGGACAGGACTCTTGGTGGAACATTCATCAGTATCAGTATCATTGTCACTGCTGTCAGTAGTATTGTTATTGATGGTGGTTGTATGAATAGCTTGTTTTTTATTATTACCATTGGTGGATATGTGACTTTTAGTGAAACCTTCATCACTAGATACTATATGATGATTATTTGCTTTATCATTGTTATAATTTTTACTATTGCTGACAATATTATTATTCTTTGTGGCTACATGGACATGATTCTTATTATTATTATTCTTGGTGAAATCTTCATCAGTATCACTATCATTATCATAAGTATCATCAGTATCAGTATCATTGTCACTGCTGTCAATAATATTGTTATTGGTGGTTGTATGAATAGCTTGTTTTTTATCATTACCATTAGTGGAGATGGAACTTTCAGTGAAACTTTCATAATCATCATCATTATTATAATTTTCACTATTGCTGACAATATTATTATTATTCCTGGTGGTTACATGGGAATAGATATTATTACTATTATTGATGGTGGTTACGCAGCCATGATTTTTATTATTATTGATGGTGGTAGTTGTTACATGGACCAGGACTTTTTGATTTCTATTATTGTTAGGATTGTCTTCAATTATAAAAAATTAATGTTATATAATTTTCAAATATATTCCATAAATATTTAAAATCATTTTATTATTATCTTACTTTCATCATCATTATGATTACTACTACTGATAATAATATTATTATCATGATTATTACCACGGTTAATAATCATTTTTTTTTTGATCTTTTTCTTGATGTAGTCCTCTTTTATTTGTACAAAAAAATAATGAATAATTATAAAGTTTTAAACAAAATTACAATTAATAATCTTCTTACTATGGTTCTGAATATTTTTTTTGATCAACAATTTCAGGAGCCAATCTCCATCACCACAATATGTGTCAGGATTTTTTTCATAAAACTATAGATTAAAAAGAAAATTGTATTATACACTGAATTGTGGGTGATATTAAAAAAATAATATATATTATATTATTACCCTTTTAATTATTTTTGAAATGAAAATATTACGATCTTGCTCTCCTACTAATGTTACTAATGTTGATTTTTTCATATTTATTAAGAATCGAATTTGCTCCTATATTAGGGAGTAAACTTGAATTAAATAATACTCAAATAGTATTGCATTTATATATTTATATTATTTATTACTTGATAACTTTTATATTGTCCTTTTGTGATGTTGAAGATTCTACACACATCTGCAACTAACAACCTTCTGGATTTTTTGGCTTATAAATAGGCAATTGGTTTTGTTTCTTATATTTATGATATAAAGTAAAGATAAAAATTAGTAAAAAGCAAAAAAAAACTTTACAAGTTATCAATGTATAAACTCACAATTATTGACAATTCTTTTTCGCGTTCCTCTAACAACCTTGTAAGGCGTTGATTGATTGAACTAAGTTTTACTGTAGACATTTTATTTTATTTTATTAAATGAATTTTGTTATGACAACGAAATTTGGGAATTTTAATCAACAGATGATCAACCAGTTAGAAATCATTCATTGTTTTTAAAAATAAATTTTAAAAAACAACAATGCGAAGTAATATTTAAAATCGTTACAAGATAATGTAAATAATAATAATTAATGATAATAATAATTAATAATAATTAACAATAACAACTAATAACAATAATAACTAATAGTAATAATAGTAATTGATCAATCATTCAACCATCAACATAGAAATCATTCATTGTTTTTAAAAATAAATTTTAAAAAACAACAATGTGAAGTATATATTTGTAATATTTAAATCGTTGCAAGGTAATGTAAATAATAATAGTTAATGATAATAATAATTAACAATAACAACTAATAACAATAATAACTGATAATAATAATAGTAATTGATCAATCATTTAATATAAATCAACATTAGTAACACTATAGTAGGAAAGCAAGATTATAATATTTTCATTTCAAAAATAATTAAAAAGGTAATGATACAATATATATTATTTTTTCATTATTTTTAAAAAGAAATTTTAAAAAACAACAACATGAAGTATATATTTGTAATATTTAAAATCATTGCAAGGTAATGTAAATAATAATAATTAATGATAATAATAATTAATAATAATTAACAATAACAACAACAATAATAACTAATAAAAATAATAACTAATCATAATAATAGTAATTGATCATTTAATATTCAACCATCAACATAGAAATCATTCATTATTTTTAAAAAGAAACTTTAAAAAACAACAACGCAAGATATATATTCATAATATTTAAAATTGTTACAAGGTAATGTAAATAATAATAATTAATAATAATTAACAATAACAACAACAATAATAACTAATAAAAATAATAACTAATAATAATAATAGTAATTGATCATTTAATATTCAATCATCAACAAGCAAACTCTCTCACATATTATATACAAAATGCAATTAAATAATAATAATGGTGAAGATAATAGTAATGAAAATAATAGCATTAACAGAATAATGGATGATTTTATGACCATGTTAATGGATACTACAACTCAAAATAGAGAATTAGTTAGAGACATATCCAACATGAATAATAGACTATTAAGTTTGCAGGAAAATACACTAACAATATTATTGAATATCACTAACACTAATGCTAGATCTACACCTACTAATACTGATGATCATACCAATGCTGCTATTGCAGCAGGTTTAGAATCTGCAAACAATGTCAAAATTTCTCAAACCAACACACCATGGAAAAGTAGTCAATGTGAAACATTGTGTTATAGATGTCGATACTATGGTCACAATATCTTCAATTGTCCCAATATTAAGGATGAATATCATAATGCTTGTTTAAAATGCTATCAAGATGGACACTACAGTCAGAATTGTTCAAATGAAAAAGTAGCTCCACCATTCAAAGATAATTTCAACCCTCCACATATTCTAAAGCAACAACAACAATAATAAAACTTTTAACATATCAAATAATAATATTTATTATATTTTAAAAATTTTTTATCTTCAAGAAAAAGAAAAAAATATTTTATTTTTTCATAATTTATTTGAACATTATTTTTATTATTATTAATAATATATTTTTTGGTCATTTGGGTTTTGTTAGGTGCTAGCTTTTTTATTGTGAATCAATTTTTCTTGGTGATTTCAGGTTTGGCTGGGTGCCAGCCTGTTTTTGATTCAAGATTTTTTTATATATTCTTCTTGGTTGTTTTGGGTTTGGTTTTTTATATAATTAATTATTTTTGGTTTGGCTGAGTGCCAGCTTGTTTTTGATTCAAGAATTTTATTATTATTATTTAATATATTCATCTTGGTCATTTTGGGTTTGGCTGGGTGCCAACTTGATTTTGATTCAGGATTTTTTATTATTATTTAATATATTTTTCTTGTCATTTTGGGTTTGGGCTTTTTATATATTTGTTTTTGGTGTGAATGTCTTTTTTGATTCAACATTTTTTTATTATAATTAATATATTTATATTTTTCTTAGTGATTTTGGATTGGATGGGTGCTGACCCCTTTTCTTTTTTATTCAATATTTTTTCTTTATTTTTTATTTTTTTGTAAAATTCTTCATTTTCACTTTTTCTAAATACAATATCATTTTTACACTAAAAATTGTGTGACAAATAAATAATCAATTTAAATTTTAAAATTTTAAATTTATATAAAATGTCTAATAACAAAAGGCTATGTTGCTGTATCAATTGTTTAAATAAATCAAATGGTGAGGGAAAATATTTACATATTACAACTTGGAATAAACATAAGAGAAATAGTAATATAAATCAGGAATTAGAAGATAATCCTGATTCTGATTCTGGAATTACTTCAAATTCTGATGCAAGTTCTTCAATGTCTGGAATAGAAACTGATGATATTGATGGTATTATAGAGAAAAAATTATTTTATTAATTTATTTTTTTTTTAGTAATATTAACAACCAACTTGATTTTGATGGTTTTTTGACTTTTTAAAAGTTGAGGATAATAATGAAACAAATGAAACAGGAATTAATAATGATGGTATTTGGAGGAGAAAGAATTTGCTAATATATTTATCTGTTAATAATAATTTGATTTTATGTCTTTCAAAAGATAATTTAGATGATAATGATCTTGGTTCTAATGGCAATTCTAGTGATTCTAGTGATTCTAATGATGATTGTGATTCAGAAGAAGATGATGGTGAAGATGAATGTAATTTTAACAAAAAGCAAATTTGACTCCATAAATAATTTATTCATTATATTAACATTTGTTTTTTTATGTAAAATAATATTAGATGAAGATAAACTTTCCAAAGAAAATCTTTTGACTGGGTTGAATTTACTTTACTTGAAGACAATACATAATTTTTTAAATCAAGCTTTCAATGACATCTCTTCTAAAATCATTAAGAAAAAAATTAGTCTGTTCAAGGCTAAAAAAGAATTGGATAAATTGGTGCCTATCAAGCCTAAATATTATGATATGTGTATTAATAGTTGTTGTCTCTTTTATGGAAAATACAATTCAGATCATGCATGTCCTATTTGTGATGAACCTAGATATATAAATAAAAAAGGAAGAAAACACATGCCCTACTTATCATTAATTGAGAGGTTGAAAATTCAATTCAATAATAAGGAAAGAGTAAAAGATTTGCTGTATCGTTGGGAATATACCTCAACAAACAGTGATAATGATGATGAAATCTTTGGTGATGTTTTTGATGGAAATATGTACAAAGAACTATGTGAAGAAGGATTTTTTGAAGATAGAAGGGAGTTGGCATTGACAGTTTCTTGTGATGGTTATCAAATCTTCCAACAAAAAACAGATGATAATTGGGTCTTTTTAGTAATAAATAACAATCTTGCACCAGAAGTAAGGGTGAAAAAAGAAAATTTAATAATAAGTTTTATTATACCAGGTCCCAATCAACCAAAAGATTTCAATTCATTTCTACAACCATTTATTGAAGAAATGAAAATTCTACAAGGTTAAATTTTTTAATTTCATTAATTTGAATTCTTTTTTTTTGTATTTAATATGAATTTTAAGAGTTAAAATTAATTTATTATAATTATTTCATAGATGGAATAGAATGCTATGATGCTTTGAATGATGAGTTGTTTCAATTAAAAGCTCACATCTTGGCTTGGACAGGAGATATACCTGCTGTAACAAAAGTTATGTGTTTCACAGGACATAATTCTTATCAGGGGTGTAGATTTTGCAAGAAGGAAAATTGCTGACAAGTAATCGACATATATATTATCCTTTACAAAACCATGCCCTACTTATCATTAATTGAGAGGTTGAAAATTCAATTCAATAATAAGGAAAGAGTAAAAGATTTGCTGTATCGTTGGGAATATACCTCAACAAACAGTGATAATGATGATGAAATCTTTGGTGATGTTTTTGATGGAAATATGTACAAAGAACTATGTGAAGAAGGATTTTTTGAAGATAGAAGGGAGTTGGCATTGACAGTTTCTTGTGATGGTTATCAAATCTTCCAACAAAAAACAGATGATAATTGGGTCTTTTTAGTAATAAATAACAATCTTGCACCAGAAGTAAGGGTGAAAAAAGAAAATTAATAATAAGTTTTATTATACCAGGTCCCAATCAACCAAAAGATTTCAATTCATTTCTACAACCATTTATTGAAGAAATGAAAATTCTACAAGGTTAAATTTTTTAATTTCATTAATTTGAATTCTTTTTTTTTGTATTTAATATGAATTTTAAGAGTTAAAATTAATTTATTATAATTATTTCATAGATGGAATAGAATGCTATGATGCTTTGAATGATGAGTTGTTTCAATTAAAAGCTCACATCTTGGCTTGGACAGGAGATATACCTGCTGTAACAAAAGTTATGTGTTTCACAGGACATAATTCTTATCAGGGGTGTAGATTTTGCAAGAAGGAAAATTGCTGACAAGTAATCGACATATATATTATCCTTTACAAAACCATTCTACATCAAATCTTCCTCTTCGGGGCCATGAAGAAATTTTAAAAAATATTGATGAAATTAATGGTTGTGGATCAAATAACCTCAAAGAGTCATTAATAAAAAAATATGGTAATTTCATTTTATTTAAATTTTTTATCTATTTGTATCTATTCTTAAATTTTTTTAATTGTTTTATCACATTATATAAATACCATTTTAATAGGGGTTAAAGAAAAGAGCATTTTATTTGAATTGAAATCTATAAGGTTTCCAAGATCTTTTCCACTTGACATTATGCATTTATTTTTTGAAAATATGGCTCCAAATATGTACAATTTTGGTCTGGAAATTTTTATAAGAATGTTGATTTAGATGAAAATTATTTAATTGGCAAAAAAGATTGGAAAGAAATTGGTACTATTCTACATAATAACAAGTATAATATGCCCAGTAATGGAAGAATACCAAGAGATATATAT